CAGTACTATGTCCACTGGTTAAAGACAGCCCAGGCAGTGTCATATACAGGCCCTGTGTCGGCAACAATTTTTTTTTTTTTTTTCCTTTTTTCAGGGAGACATGGCAGTCACTGGGCTATAAGGCAATCTGCATTCCGCTAATATAGAGGGTGATGCAATATAGGAGTTATTGATCTTTTATGTGGCTTTAAAATCAGAAATCTGTGGTAATACCATACACAGCTAAAACTGGGGTGAGCGGAAACATATGCTGAACATTTTAATGACTTCACACCTCCCACTGCTCTTCATTAGTGAAGGAACACAATTCCAAATAGTATCGGCTAATGAAATCATAATAAAAGAGGGAAGTATGCCATAATGCGTTACCTACAAAATGTACATATTACATACCTACATACACACAATTATAATATAGGGCCCTCTAAATCCCTCTTGTATTGAACTGTATTGTTGCTGTATTGTCTCCCTCCATAATGTAAAGCGCTGAGCAAACTGTTGGCGCTATATAAGTCCTGTATAATAATAATATATACATATACACACACACACAGTATATTAGTGATGCACCGGTATATTGGCTGCCGAAAATTATCGGGCAGATATAGGGTTATCTGTAATTTGCTGAAGAAAAAAAAAACAAACAAAAAAAAAGGGGCCCAATAATGGTAAAAGGCTTCAATGCAAAAAGCCACCCCCCGTCGACTTCAACGCAAAAAGGCCCCCGCGTCGACGTCAACACAAAAAACACCTTTTTAAGTTAAATTTTATATATATTTTATTTTTTTCTCCAAATTTTTGTGTTACACGTTCAGTAAGAACATGTACTTCCATCTGGCTGTGGAATAAACATACACAAAGTACACACCAGGGCAAAAAGTAGCAAGAAACAGCAACCAGAAAGCAACTGCCGCTAATACAAATGGTATAGAAAAGCTCATGGTTTGTTACAGGTTATCGGCAGCACCTTGTGACAACCAAATAGATCATCTAAAGCAGTTGGAAATGCTTGCATGGCAGTTGGTAGTCCAAGGTTCCAAGAATCGGTTGGGGAGGGGGTATGGATGGTGACTAGATATTCTCAGAGTTGGTCCTGCAGATAGGATGACATCGTCGGGGGGAAGGAGAGCCGAGAGGACACACAGGCATGGCATCACAGCAAGAGGTGAGCGGCAACCTTGGTCTGTGACAGTCAAAAAGAAAAGGAAGTTACTGAAAACCATGGGGGGCAATAGGGGATCATAGGGCCCCTGTGTCCTTGCCTAAACTCAAAAAAGCCTATGAAAAAGGTACCAGGGGAATCTCATGGGGCCCCCTACTGACCCCAGGCCCTAGGGCAGAGCCCGAGTTTCCAAATGGTCAGTCCACCCCTTATCCCGGCTCAACTTGCCAGCCAGCTTGCCAACAACCGAATGAACCTGTCTAACAATATACATTAAAAACAGGGGTTTAGTTGGCAAACATTTGCAAATACATATGTAAGCCACAGAGCCACGTCACGGTACCCTGATAATCTGTGGTCCTAACTCTACAAATTGTGAGAGCCCCCATAGTAGAGGCACATGTATTTAATGGATAGACCAAGGGCAGGTGAACCTGAGGAAGCCCCCCCCCTCCTTAAAAGGTACAGGAGCGCACCGGACACCCAGCATGTAGCACAATGGCAGCCAGGGTGTCCAGTGCACCCCTTCGACCAACAGGTCAACAGTACAAAAGCCAGTAATAGACCGGGGCAGTGGCCATTTTTTGTACTGCTGATTTGTTGGTGAGTGGGTGCACTGGACACCTTGGCTGCCATTGTGCTACATGCTGGGTGTCTGGTGCGCTCCTGTACCTTTAACCACCTCCCGTCCAGCCGTTGTATATAAATGGCCAGACGGTGGCAGTGCAGGGGTGGGTGGCCGTTTATAAACAGCCTCCCCGCACACTGCTTGTGCGCACTCCCTGGGAGCGCGCAGCACCTCCGGACACAGTGGAACACCGATCGTCGGACGGGAACTCTGTATGAGGTCCCGATTGGCCAATCAGTGATCACATGCAAAGTAGTAAGCAAGATGTCACTTGTGACATCATTGCTTACTACGTGTGAAATCTGTGAATGATCACACAGAGGTCACATGGTACAAGGCTATTCACAATATCCTTGTACCATGTGACAAGCTGTGACCAATCACAGCTCACTCAGTAGTTCTCAATGGCTGCAAGAATGCAGCCAGAGAGGAGAAATGATTGCTTTTACAGCCTTTACGGGTGTAAAAGCAATCAGTGTAAAAAAAAAAAAAAAAAAAACTTCTTCACCCTCCACAAGTAGTAGTGTCACCATGGTGACACTGTACTGCTAGGGTGACAGTATGTAAAAAAAATTATAAAAAAATATAAAAAAATTAAATTTTTCTCTTAAAAATTATAATTTTGGTTATAAACTAATTTGGGTTATTTACTAAAATGTTTTTTACTAAAAATATAACGGAATAAATTTTGGCCAAGATTTATGATGAAATACTATTTATTTGCAAACTTTTATAAGAAAAACACTATTTTTCAAAATTTTTGGACTTTTTAATTTACATAGCAAAAAAAAAAAATTCCCAGTGGTGAATAAATACCACCAAAATAAAGCTTTATCTATCTCGAAAAAATGCTACATAATTCATATGGGTACAGTGTTGCATGACTGCGCAATTGTCATTCAAAGTGTGATAGCGCTGAAAACTAAAAACTGGCCTGGGCAGGAAGGGGGTAAAAGTGTCCAGACTGGAAGTGGTTAAGGAGGGGGGGGCGGGGGGGGGGGGGGGCTCCCTCAGGTTCACCTGCCCTTGGTCTATACATTAAATACATGTGCCTCTACTATGGGGGCTCTCAAAATTTGTAGAGTTAGGACCACAGATTATCGGGGTGCCGTGACGAGGCTTTGTGGCTTACGCACATATTTGCAAATGAGTGCCAACTAAACTCCTGTTTTTAACGTATCCTGTTAGACAGGTTAATTCGGTTGAGCCGGGAACTTTCTTCTCTTTTTGACATGCGTTGCCCCCTCCATGTGTTCCTTGCTGTAAAAGCCAGTTATAGACCGGGACAGTGGCTATTTTTTGTACTTGGTCTGTGACAGCCCTGTACGAAACCACGGTCGCCGCTCACCACCCGGCGTGCGGCCCAGTCATTATCAGGCCATGGACCAGGACCGTTCCATGGCCCAGAGTTGAGCAACTCTGATCTAAAGTAAAGCCTGCTATCAATCATCTCTAAATGGTGATATTTTTATAGCTGAATTTTGAATGGAAATAAATCCATTTAACCTCTTCACGACGGCCGCACTCCCGGCGTCTGGGCCTAGACGCCGAGCGCGGCCGCGCATTTGCGTGAGATTAAGAAAAAACATGTGCTGAGAGCGCGCACCCTCCACGCTCCCAGCACACATGTCCGGTACTCACGGAGAGGTCCTGGTCTGCTCTTTCGATCGGGACCTTTTCAGATCGTATGACCACAGTGATGACATGGCGGTCACATGATCCCTAAACCCCGCCTCTTGAAACTCTTAAAGGGCCGGGAGGCGCCGGTGGGAAGGGGTTGAGCTGGATGTAGGACATATACAAGCAGGTAAACTGGTGCTTAAAAAAAAAAAAAAATTTAAAAATGTTATATTTTGGCTTCTCTGGTTCCTCCCCTTTTCCCCTTCAATGTGCTAATGAACGTTTTAAATAAAACCTGTTTTCATTACATACCTCATTTTAGATCCAGTGATGTCTTCGCTGGGTCTCTGTGCAATGCAGGCTGATCATTGCCAGTGGGAAGGGCTGGCAGGGAGCTGTACATGGCTTCCAGCAAACATAGCACCCTGCCTCAGTACTGCTCCCACTGCTGGAGGATGCAAATATCAGAACGCCTTGATGGGTAGATCAGTCTAGAGAAGTGGCCCTCCTATGCAGGCTGTATTTGCAGGAAGACTGCCCTCAGTTCTGCAAAGGTCAAAATGTCCTTCCAGGGGAGCAGGCATGCCTTGGCAGATTTGCATCTGCATGCAGACCACCCTAGTTAACACCCGCATGCGATGAGCCTCTATGAATGAAAGAACTAAAATTCATGGAATGATAGGAACGGGCCAGGGACAAGTAAGGCTGGACAGGAAAGAGCTAGATGATACTAGATGTTCTTCAGCCAGGAGCTGAGGCGGAGCTCTGTCTGACTTGCTGCAGCTTCTAATGCACATTGTGAGAAGCTCACAGTGTGCAGTGAAATCAGAGTAAGAAAATTCAGTCTTGTAGAGGAGCCTCTACAGCAGACTGAAGGGAAAGCTGGAGCTCAGCTTTAAATCTACTTACAGATGGACCTCAGATATAGTTGCAATAAGCACCAACATCAAAATAAATATACACAAGAATACAGTTTGTGATCTATATAAACTGTTGCAGCTCATTCGCTCAGCCTGACAATCATGTTCTACCTTCAAAATGTTTCTGGTTTGTCTTATAAACCGTTTTACCGCCCTTCAGAAGAAACATTGATGTTTTAACATGCATCTCCGAAGCTACTATCCCAATCCTTCATCCACTGTTTAGGGAATCACCAATTGGAAACAAAGTGCGCAGGGCAGGAGAGCTTAACATCTTCACGCCGGCCGAACGCAAATGTGCGGCCTCCCAGAGTCTGGGCCTAGACGCCGAGTGGCCGCACATTTGCGTTCTATGAAAAAAAGGACATATGTGCCGAGAGCGCGCGCCCTGCGCGCTCCCCAGCACACGTGTCCGGTACTCACGGAAAGGTCCCGATCTCCTTTTTCGATCAAGAGCTTTCCCGATCATGTGACCGCCATGACGGCGCGTCACGGCGGTCACATGACCCTAAACCCCGCCTCCCGAAACTCTTAAAGGGCCGGGAGGCGCCGGCGTGAAGGGGTTAAACTGAGACTTCATCAGCAAGTTCAGCCATTGATAGTCGCAGTGAGCTCAGTAACTGACAAATAGATTCCCAGCCTTACACAGTGACTGCTGTAGTGTCTCTCGGCCCATTACCTGACTCGTAGCTCCATCAGCAGATGCTCCCGTGTCAGCTCTTCGATTCGCAGCGTGCCCCCGTACGGGTCTCTCCACAGGAGAGTTCCTCCGCCGATAAAACAGTACATATGCGTATCGCGTCACCACTTGGCTCTCGTCCACCGAGGTCACTGTGCTGTCGTCAAAAAGCCTCCAGCCTACAGAAAACAGAAGTGTCAGTAAAACTTATTCACATCACAGCAGTATAGCACTAGAAACCACAAAATATAGTAAAAGTTTGAAATGCTAAGGCCCCATGTACACAGGACACTTCTGAACGATGGAAACTGACTGCTGGAAAAAGTAGGTTAAAAATCGTCTGTTTAGGAGTATTTGCATAACGCGTTTATGCACGTTTTTTAAAGAGAAGCACAGGAGAACCTCCCAAAATGCCCAGAATGCACTGAAAAGTGGTAAATTAACTATTTCAGACTGTTTCAGCGAAATACAGAGCGTAGAAGCAGAGACAGCAGTATGTGTGGAGATTAGCTTCGGTGTGAGTTGCTCATTAACATTTATTTTGTTTCCAAGGGTGGGAAAGGTGTCTGGTGGAGGGAGTCATTAGGGCTAACTGGCAGGGAGGAATTTGAGGTGTGAATGGTCATTAACATATCTTTTGTTTCCAAGGGTTGGAGAGGTCGGACGTGTGAATGGTCATTACAATGTGTGACAAGCTTGGTAGGAACATCCTGTGTTCAGTGTTTTGTCCATTTGAGTACCTTGAAAACGATTTGCACGCATTTTTCATGATGAAAAAAAGGCTCTGGACAGCATCGGAAACTGGAAGAGTTAAAAAAAAAAAATAAAAAAATTCAAATGCAAACGCTAATAAACGTGATTTGCCGCGTTTACAAGCGTTTTGCGTTTGAAATGCTGATAAAATCGACTGCTGAAAGCAAGTTTTCTGCGTTCAAAAAAACCACTGTAAACTCAAATGACTGTAAATGAAGAGGTGTACATGGACACATAGGAAAACATTAGGGAGAGTTCAGGGGGCTGCTGAAAAAAAATGCTGAACATCTCCTAAATGTCAGTTTATCATCTGCAGTGTACATGAGCCCTAAGGGGCATATTATTAATAAAGCAGTGAAAAAGAAAATACATTTTTACAAATGAGCTCACTCTCCGCTGGCTTTTGAACTCAAAATTACTATTAAAATGAATGTGAAAACGCAGGCTGCAACAACACTGCAATATAAAGCGGATGGGGGGGGGGGGTACCTTTTTCTGACAGGTACTTGCTCCCACTTCCACTAGCACTGCCCACCCCCCACCCTGCAAAGTCCTGGACAAAACATGTCCCAGGAGGCTGCAGGACTCCGATGAAGAAGGGGTTGCCCTTGAAATGCGTCAGACATTTAAGACTCTGGTGAGGTCACCTTGTACTCTGTAGCCCAGTGGTCTGACTCTGCACACTCTAGACGAGTAGCTCGATGAATGATTTTAATTCATGTTTGAGTATAAATTATGTTGCTTTTAATAAATAATAAATGCTGTGGGATAATGCATTAGGCTGGTGCGCCCTCTTTCAGTCCTTTTTTTTGTAGAGGCTGCAGCACCAGTCTGACAGCGCAGCGCAATCTCATTCATGCGCAGAGGGAGTTTGGTTGCGAAACAGAAGGAAGTCACAGCGGGCTGCCACAGGCCAGATGGAGGCACTGATCGGGGAAATACTGGCCCAGGTGAAGGACTCTTGGGCTGGTGAGTGAGCTTCTTTAAAAATAAGTATGGAGTATTAAAAACACATACACACACTGACCCTAGGTGGATGCAGCATTAATCTGATGTTGCATCTGTCCCCCGCCACCTCTACACTGAGAACTGAGCGATCAAAGACCGCTGATCGTTCAGTTCGAAGGCTTCATGTACACAGGACACTTCTGAACAATGGAAACTGACTGCTGGAAAACGCAAGTGAAAAAACGTCTGTTTAGCTGCGTTTGCATACCACGTTTATAAGCGTTTGCACTTATAAGAGTTTTTTTTAAAGATAACCTCAGACCTTCCAAAATGCCCAGAATGCACTGAAAAACAGTTAAAAATTAACTATTTCAGACATTTTGAGAGAAATAGAGAGCAGAAGCAGAGAGAGCAGTATTTGTTGAGATTAGCTCTTTTTTTTTTTGTGGTGTTTGGATGTGTTCCAGCTCATTTCTGTGCAGAAATTATTGCAGAAGTGTCCAACATATTTTCTTTCATGCGAAACCTCAAAGTACGGTGTATTGGGTCCATTTGAGTACCGGGAAAACGCTTTGCATTCATTTTTCATGATGAAAAAAGGCTCTGGGCAGCATCTGGAAATGGAAGAGTCAAAAAAAATTTCCGAACGCAAACGCTTATAAACGCAGATAGCCACGTTTACAAGCGTTTGAAACGCTAATAAAATCTATTCCTGAGTGCAAGTTTGGTGCGTTGAAAAAAAAAAAAAACAACTGTAAACTCGACTGCCTGTAAATGACGATGTGTACATGGACACATAGGAAAACATTAGGGAGAGTTCAGGGGCTGCTGAAAAAACGCATAACAGCTCCTGAACGTCAGTTTATCAGCTGCAGTGTACATGGAGCCCACGTCTTCAATGAGCAGAGAGCCAGGGACTGTCAGTCCCTGGCTGTCTGCTCTGTCCCTCCAGCGCTCACTGAAGCGCCGAGCTGTGCAGGGCTCAGGAGTGGGTGGGCTCAGTCTCTCGGCAGTGCATGGAGAGGCTGAACAGGCTGCTGCTCCAGGCATCTGGGTGGATCCTGACATTAAAGTTGGGATCTCTCCAGAGCCTGGATCGGCTGAGTGACATCAGCCGACAGCAGACTTTAGCCCGCTGTTGGCTGAATATGGATCACAGGAGCGCAGAATTAACAACACTAACATCATTAACAAGAGCTTTGGCCCTACTGCTCATTTAAAAAAGTCAGCAGATACAGTATTTTAGCTTCTGCCTTTTAATGAGAAATTTGAACTTTTGTTGGTTACATAAATTTCTTAAAATTTTTATATAAAGTAGAACTTTAGGAAAACAGCTGAATATAGAATGGAAGAAAAGCATGCATGAACAATATTACCAGACAAAATATTTGTAACCTGTTCACCAAAGTCTGGACTCAGCAGGATGACCCCAATATTTCCTCTCTTTAACCACCTGAGCTCCAGAAGATTTTACCTCCTTCATGACCAGGCCATTTTTTGCTATACGGCGCTGCACTATTTTAACTGGTAATTGCATGATCATGCAACCCTGCAACCAAATTTTATCTGTTTTTTTATTATATAAAACGGAAGAAAAAAAAACTGAAAAAAAACCCACAATATTTTTACATCAAATAAAAATTATATATAAAAAAAAAAAGTAATTTCTTCACAAACTGAAGTCAAAAATGTATTCTGCAACATGTCATTGGTAAAAAAATAAAGAAAATTACAATAAATATATTATATATAAATATATATTAGTAACAAATATATATTAGCAATAAATATATTATATATAAATATATATTAGTAATAAATTATATATAAAATATATATTAGTAATAAATTATATATAAATATATATTAGTAATGGGGGTGACCAGTGACTTATAGTGGGACAGAGTGTGGAAGGCAATCTGACACCAACCGATCCTGGGTGGGAACTGACACCAACATCACCAGTGACACTAATACCGTGATCCATGATAATACTGTATACGCTCTCGCTATAGTGATGACACTGGCTGGGACAGGGTTAACATCTAAGAGTTATCAAAGGGTTATCGATGTGCCTAACAAACGTAAAGTGTGTAATGGTTTTATCAAGTGATGACAGTTTTTACTCCCTGCTTTGCAGAAAGAAAATAAATACAAACAAACAACCTGCCACATCGCTGCTCTTGGGTAAACAACACAGGACTGTATCTTCAAACACAGGGCTCTCTTCTCTCCTTCGCTCAGTGGGTCCTGGCCATAAATCACTGGCCGGAACCCGCTGATCGGCTTGTGTTGTAGTGAATGTCAGCACAGCCGTGGCAACGGGCACGTGAGCCCCCCCTGTCCAGAAATGCTGGATCATGTACATATACGTGATCCAGTGCACCTGGGCCGCCCTGTAGCAGTATATCTACAGTGAGCGGTCTGGAACTGGTTAAGGTTTCAGCTCCCTGCGTTAACTGCCTGTTCCTTGGACAGAGGATGACGCGGATTCATTGTCCAATCAGAAGACTGGAAGAGGTGACACAAGAAATGCGTTGCAGAACAAGGAAATCAGTCACCTGCCTGAATGTGCAATGTAACAAGTGTATGTAATTCCTGAGAGACTGGCCATACAACCAGGGGCAGACTGACAACTCATGGGGCAATATGGGCTCATGGGGCCCCCCCCGGCAATATGGGCTCATGGGGCCCCCGTGTCCTTGCCCAAACTCAAAAAAGCCTATGAAAAAGGTACCAGGGACATCTCATGGGGCCCCCTACTGACCCCGGGCCCTCGGGCAGTGCTCGAGTTTCCAACTGCTCAGTTCACCCCTGCATACAACACGACTTGGGTAGGTTACATATATTTAAAATGTTTTCAGCCACCCGCCTAGATTTCCTCTGGTAAAATTTACTGTAGGAATTAGCAAAAATTAAGAGTTGTGAGCTGCTAAATCCACAGAAAAAAAAAAAAAAAAACAAGAAAATGTTCTATTAGTTGACAGCAAATATTTGGAGAATGCTGGTAATGTACATGGAAGTGTACTAATCACATCAGGCATCCTGGATTGAGCAAACAGTTCTGCAAAGTGTTGCTAGCCACTAAATCCGTTTTACTGATTCCCTCTGCTATTTACGGAATGCCAAGATCCTGCTTTTACCACGGCCATATAAAAGGGAGTCATCCATGTTGTAAGAGAGCTACCACTTTACATGAGATTGGCTACAACTGTAAAAAAAAAAAAAGGTTACTAGTGCTCATTCACATGTGGGTGCAGAGAGTCATACACCGGAAAAAAAAAAAATTTAGGGGGGGGCCAGGAGTCACAGCAAAATGTACAAATCAATGGTAGGCTGAGATTGTACACTGGTAACCTCCCACCTGTCCATCTACATGCATACAGAGACAGATGAATGGCCATCCAGAAACATGCATCCATCCCTATATGCACGTATGTACTCGAATGTGAAGTTACTACAGTACAGAGGCAGCTTACCACTGATATATACAGGGGGCTGTATGTAAACACCTGTGACTCCCGGGTACAGAGACATGCATTTTTTTTTTTTTTGTAATATTTACAGTGTATGACATTCTGCGCCTGTATGAATGAGCCCTTATTCTAGTGAGAGATGCAGGTAAGAAAAGCATGTCAAGTGAAGTGCTTGTGGAAGCTGAAAAACCTGCTGCCATGCTCTACCCTGTTCACCTCATTTGGTTTACAGGTAAACCAAAAATCCCATTTTCTTTATCGTACATCACAGATCATCTTTATATCCATGATCATCGGGATGTCCCAAAGCACTGAATATGAGGGGAGGGCAACAGGCCTCAAACAACTAGAACAGGACCCTCTGAGGGGGTCTAGTCATCATCCATCATGGTGGCCTTCAGGAACTCAACTCACCCGCTGGGGATCACTGCCCTGGGCCTGTACAGTACCTCCCCGGTCCTCAAGGCAACATATCATTGTACAGGGTCCAGTGCAGACCAGAAACATCACAGGCCATCCACGTGTGCAGAGATCATGGTCCGGATATCATTCCTCTTGAGTGTTGCAAAGCCATAGGAAAATGGATCTGGATAAATCCAGCCTCCTAATCCCAGATGGAACCATTAAGCAATTGTTTTTTATGCAGAGAGCTGCACAAACATGACCATCACCTAAGACACTAGAAAAAGAAAATGAACCCTTGCCTAACAGAGAAGTGCTATGCCTAGGAGGGGACTTCCTATTCTTTTGCCAATCACCTGATGGTAGTAGCATAACCCCATCATCATGCTGTGTCCCAGGACCCTAGCGTCACATCTATGGGGTGGTGCCGCTGCGGATCCGTAAGAAAATCTGTGCAGCAGCACCACCCGCATAGAGGAATGTGGACCCGCGGACGGGAGCCATTAGTTCTAATGGCACGCCGCCCGCACTGGAAAACGCAACCGTACTGGGAACCGAGGTTCCCGTGCGGGCTGCGTTTTCCAAAGTGCAAGGACTTCTTCCCTGCGTGTCACAGGCACGGGAGTCCATTCAAATGAATGGGCTCTTGTGCAAGTGCAAAATGCGCCCGCATATATTTGGACCAGGAGTGATGTACGATAAAAAGTTAAAAAAAAAAAAAAAAAGGAGGAAAAAAAGTATTCATTTACAACTCAAGACTTTTCTTTTTTTTTTTATTAAAGTGAAAGGCGAGGCAAACTGCAAAAAATGTACTGAAATAAAGAGTATGCTTCTATTACACAAAATGATTTCCTGTCAAGGGCTGACAACCCTACATCACTGCCAAATCCTCAGAGCTGTCGGCTCTCTGATCTGGGTCTCCCCATTCATCTTTGCAGTGTCATCAAGTCACCGCATTAACAAAGAGGGAGAAGCAGTAAGCAAGAGCCGAAGGGAAGGCTAAAGTAGAGATTGCTCAACTCCCTGAAAGGCAGGAGCCCTAGGAAGGTATGGGGGGGGGGGGGGGGATCCACAGATCCAATCCATCCTGCGGGGATTGTCAGCATGCAACCTATACAGGGTGACACCAGTTCCGCTCCATGAAAAGGTAAGTTGTAAAGCAAGCCGACGATCCCGCAGGATGGATCGGAACTGCGTATTGAGCATAATGGATCGGAGACCAATCCATTGTGCTCAATCTGCAGATCCGATCCATCCTGCGGGGATCGTCGGAGGGGGTGTCACCAAGTGTTATCACACCGGGTGGCACCAACCCTAGAGACGCCCCTGGGCTTGACTTATACTTTAAAAGATACTAATGCAAATGTCACGGTAAAAGCACTCAGTAGCCATGTATCATTTCTGAGGTCTCCGTTTACCACCCAAAATCGAGCAGATTTTCTGGCACGGCTTGTCCGCAGAGTAATAAGTACCATCTACAACCTTCCAGACTTACAAATAGAACGAGCTGTGGTGTTGTCACTTACCTACATCACTCCGCTGACTGTTTTTATCATTGGGGAGTCTGGCATAGGCCGTGTAGTGTCCCCCAATCATGCCTCCATAATGATTAATGACTGCATAGAGGTCATAGATAGGCCTCTGGTGGTCTTCCTTTTGCCCAATGCAGAATGTTGTTAGATCCAGACCCCTGCAAACAGGAAGACAAAGATACACACTTCAAAACATTACTTCAGAAAAAAACAAAAAAAAAAAACAACAAACAAAACGCCTATATAAAGCAGAAATGCGACATAAGAAAGGAGAGTTCAGGCACAACAGACTTAAAGCGGAGTTCCACCCAAAAGGGGAAGTTCCACTTTAATGATTGGTCTCCCGCTCCCCATTAAGGATTGGCACCTTTGGGCAGCGG